CACAATGAACGCAGCTTAGCCTGGGATGCCTCCCACCTCAGGTTAGCCGAATTCCACTTATTGCGGAGCGAGTGACCTTTAGTGTTCAGCAAAAGTGATACGAGGCACTGTGACAAAATATCTTCGTAAATTTACAAAATATTTTGTATTTCCGATTTACAAAATATATTGTTAATTTACGACAGAGCATTCTTGCTCGCTAATGAATTCTTAGTCGACACAGAGTACTTGTAACTTTACAATTTCAAATGGTAATTTTACTACACACATCATGTTGCCCATATTTTTTCCACAGTGAGTACTTAAAGGTTTAGAAACTACTAAAAGAACTCTTAAATCAGGGATGGCATTTACTCTAAGTTTCTGGTTTGATATCAGTCACGCTTTCGCCTCGACTCGCGTTCTTCCGACGACCGAGGATGGATCAACAACGCTTTCGTCTTCAATTTCCCTGCAAAAGGCTGCTCTGCATTACGAGACAATATACCTGACTTTGCCCGAGTCATGATTGGCGAGGCGTTTGTCAACAGCCCATCATGTCTTGTTAAGCCGGCAAGTACCACTAGATAATTTTGAAAGTGATCGCTTAGAAAACATCGAGTGAACAGTTCCGCAAATTCTTAGTTATGGTTCACATTTTATAGTGGTTTCTTTTCCTCTGTATTAAAAGGGTATTTGACGCTATTTAAAACGGAAGAGAAAACGAACTCGACTGGCCTGCTGTTTCTGCTAATTTGACACGAGGAGTAAAATCATGGCACTTTGGCTCTTAAATAACTGCTCATAGAGGATAGAAACTGATGTAACATTCCACACCCGGAAGTCCTTCGGGACAAGTGATCAGCACCAGAGCCATTACGGTAACAGGAAACAGCAAAATCAGTGAGTTTGTTCTTCTTCTACTTCCGCTGTAAATAGGCTGAACTACCCTTTGCACGTGGCCTATATTGGCCGATTAAGTAGTGTTATGTTCTAGTTCTAATGGCGTATGTTTTTCTATTATCAGGGCGTGTACATTGTAGATAATCAGCCGGTGAACTGGTCATTCCCTAATGTTCCCATAATGCCATACGGGCACTGGCGCGCCCATATTGCCTACGGAAAGATCAAGTCCCCGACCGCTGACTTTTGTGCGTCTTTTGAGGCTCACACGATCCCACGACCGAAACAAGCACACAAGGGCTAAACCGTGTGCTGCCGTGCAACTCCTTGTGATAGCAGGAAAAAGTCTGTTTCACTGGGTCACCTGGTATGAAAAGGAATGGTTTTTATTAAATCTTGTCTGATGACATGACGGCCGTTTTTGTGTATTTTAACCTATCCCAGTGTTAGTTACTTGTTTTAAACGACAACCCCATACAGCAGCACATGCACAATTGAATAATGTGTTGATGCCGACATTGGTATATGCCTAGCGCATTTTATAATACTGTAGGGATGAACTCTCATTTTTAGAGGCTTTTATGAAAAACTATGTTTATTTCTTATGATACAATAAAATTAAATAAGCAAAATTATTTCATACGATGCGGACATGAATTATTGAGAGTCAAGTAAAGATAAATAAATTAATTATAAACCGCCACTAATACAACCTAAAATAATAGTCAATAAATAATTTACATGCAATACTTAAACAAGGTTTCTATCGGGGTGAGATCTTTAAAAGCACTCCTTCAATCGACTTGAGAATGACCCTTCCTTCGACCTTGGGTTTGTACCCTGGACTCGGCAAATCCAGTTTACAGTGTCGGACAACTTTTGAAACGGTGGACTTCATCTCCATCATGGCAAACTTTTGTCCTGGAAAAAAAAGAAAGAAACGTTTGGTTAAACCGTGACACAATGTGTATGCAAGGCGTGGTGTACTATGTGGTGTTTCATTCACGTCACTTTTAGACCGGAGTACTTTTTCATGGTCATGATAAATGTATCTCGGTTGGCCACATATTTAAAATTTACACTATAACTGAATTTTGAGTGAATAAGAGGACAATCTCTTTTTAAAAAAATAGATATTAACGTTTATGCGACGTCGTATAGATCTCGAGTGGATGCAACGTTTCTGGGTAGAATAGGCCTAAACGGTCAATATGCTCCCGGATCTCTAGTACGTACCGACGCAGTTTCTTGGCCCCGCTGAGAAGGGCACGTACGCGTAGGGGTGCCTTCCCGCGGAGTTCTCCGGGAGGAACCTGTCGGGGTCGAACTTCTCCGGGTCGGGCCACTGCACCGGGTCGCGACCCATCTGGAGGCAACTGATTGTCACGTTGGCACCGGCCGGGATGACGTAGCCACCTGCGGAGTTCAATGATGGGGCATATGTGACAAAGAAAACTTCAAGTACCATTCGTACTTTGGTACCGTGAATAAAATGCTGATTAGGCTGAAGTGGCCTTCAACTGAAGGGAGGGACTTCAGGCAAGATAAGAGGGAAACAAACGCACTCTGGATGTAAATGTAAATTAAAACATTCACCGTATCAAAATACATTTAAGGTATAGCAAGCAAAGTGGTCAGTGCAGGTACCTGAGACGGGGAGGTCCTCCTTTACGAGGCGGGCGAAGAGCGGCACGCTGGGGTACAGGCGCAGAGTCTCCTTGATCACCCGCTCGGTGTAGCGCATGTTCTGCAGGTCCTGTGACGAGGCCGGCCGGTCCGAGTCTCCGAAGAGGTCGTGCATCTCCTGCACCAGCTGCTCCTGCACCTCGGGGTTGGCGGCCACGTTGTACAGGATGAAGGAGAGGGCGGCGGCCGTCGTGTCGTGACCCTGCACGGTAGTACGTGTTATACAAGAACGTTTGGCAAGCACGCGCAAGTTGTAGGACGCAGCTCTGCGGCTGGACACGAATGTAACTCATTGACCCTACCCTCTGAGCTGTAAGCTGTAGTTCTTACCTCAAACATGAACGTGTCGACCTCTTCCTGGATGTCCTTGTCGAGCAGCGAGTCGTTGGCTTCCAGCAATTGGTCAAGGAATGCCACTCTCTTCTTCATACCTGGAAATAAAATCGATTATTTTAGGGTCTTACATACACTCTCAATGTAAATAGACACTTTTGTTTCTTAAAAGGCAACGTTTCCGTGCAAATTGTTTCTAAATTTGGACAAATTGTGTAAATTTTTTAGGAACAAAATTGTTCTTTTACATTTACAGTGCAGCGCACAAGTGTGGTACGAACTTGGGGGTGGCGTGGCGGGGCGTGAGGTGGCTTACCCAAGTCCTTCTCAGTCACAGACAAACTGTTCCGTCGAATTTCCCGCTCTTTGCGCCTGCTCTCGATGACCTTAAGATTCAAACACAGGGAAGCCATGAGTTTCGACTCTCAGATAGGCGAGGGGCGAGCCTTAGTACAGACAATGTGGAAAGTGATCACTGTTACCTCCTTAGTGTAGTCGTGCATCACTTTTAGGGCGTCGTTGTAGGTCTTGCCTTCGGTCGACACGTTGAAGACGAGGTCACTTTGAAGCCAGGGCTTCATGGAGCGTTGGTGAAATGAAACTGTGGCGCTGTTAAACATCAACGGGTCTTACTACGCGGAACAAAACAGTGACAAAGTCACATTCAATTATTGTTTAAAGCCAAACTGTGCTTACTCATTAACGGACG